CCCTTGGACAAAACATTGAATGAAAGCTAAAAGCAAGTCAATTTATATTCATGACAAAAGGCATATATATACTAGATCAGGACGGGGGGATTTACAATGGCATAAGCAAGCAAGTCTTGGTCACGGAGGAACGTATGCATGTCTTGCTCGGGTAAGCCTATCCACACTTCTACACAATCACCATCTTTTGAGACCATCAGCCAGACAAACATCTTGTTGAAAGATCCAATCAAGACCGGACTACCCCATCCAAAGTCAACCTCGTAGAAAGGCTTTCTGCACCAGCTAGACATTGAGTATATGTCTATGTCCGGTTTGACCTCTGCCTCGAAACTTCCCATCAGACTGAACAAATACTGACCAAGTGTATTGCTTTCGAGATTCTCTTTAATCATCTCGTTGACTCCTACTTTGGCCTTCCTGAATGCAGCCACGGTTTCAAAGATATCCAAGTCGTTCTCGGCATCTTTCTTGACAAAGAATGATGTATGTAGGTTTCCAATCGCGTCACGTGACAAAAGAGTAGACGGAATCCTAAGCCGCAAGTCCAAAGGTTTGATACATCAGGATTGACCTTGGAACCACCGAGTTAGAGCGTGAGGCATTCCTGGCACATTTCAAGACTAGCGCGGAGATTGCTTCCACACGAGTAGGTACATGTACACTTTCGCTAGCGGCCTTGCGTTTAAGCTCAGCAATCTTAGTGGACTCGAAGACTAACCTATTGGTTACACACTTGCTTGTTGAATTGACAATATTGGAATCCGTAGGTGGGAACTGTAAAGAGACATGATCAGGAGGAGGATAAATGGTCGTCTCAGCAAAGTGAATAGTATCATTTGACTTCCCTTTTGCAGTAGTCGTGGCCCAGTCCGTGACGAAGGTCAACAATGAGGCTGCGTCGCAGATCCTGTGAGAGACAGAGACAGAGACCGCAACTCCTGAACCAGAGCCGAAGAATGTGACCTTGACACTTAACAACGGCCACTCCGTCGGAGAATCTCCAATGGTGGTCGGGGAGAATCGGTCTAGAGAGTCCATGTTGACCATGTTTTCCAAGAAGTCGGAGAGAAGGAGATCAGTGCGTGCTTCAGTGAAGACAGCTCCTTCATCGTTGCAGCTGACCGAGAGGCCTTTTATACGTCCAGCAAGTGGATAGAACCGTGACAGAGTCTGGGACAGAGAGGTCTTAAGTTTCCCGGAGATGATCTGTGGTGACATGGTTGCGAGATGTTCAGCTTTGTAGAAGAAGATAACAGGCACGTACATCGCGGG